ATCAGCCGCCCGGTAAATGTGCTACCCCTAGTGGGAAAGTCCCTTTCTCTCAGCAGCCTCCTGGTGGTGAGTGATACCAGTTCGCTAATTAGAGGTGCGTTGATTATGCTTGTGCTGGTCAGTCCCGATCTGATTGGTCATTTACTGAGATTTCAGTACACGTATGTGACCAGGATCATGCCCTSGTTCCTGCACAGGAAAGTGGAGCAGAAGCTTGTGCGCCCCGTGTGAGCAGCCGTGAGCGCAGCCGTCCCTCAATCTCGTAGGTTGGAGCTTAATTAGTTCCTTTGTGCGAATCTTCTCGGGGACATGTCCCGGTTGACACGCTGAGGGAAGAGAGCACCCACTGGTCTCCTCGTGCTCATGTCAGGCCCATATTACTTACCACTCATCCTCAGCTGGCTCCCGCGAACGGGCACGAACAGGCACCATCTCCGCTGCACACCCCTAGTCCGCTGTTCCGACACACTCGCTCGCCGCGGCAGCACGGAACCACTGTACGTTCGCTGCACCCGCCGCTGTTCACCGTCCGTGTTTGTCGTCTTCAGCCAGCGTTGGCAGCGGTGGCTGAGCACACCGTGCATGCTTCCTTGCGTCACGTCACTCCCCTCTCACGCGGAGTAACCGCCTCCGCGCTGCCGCCCCTTCCCCGTGCTTGCACTCATTGCTTGCTCGTCTCCAGTCAACTTCCGGGATGTTGGGTACACCTGGCACGCATCCTCGAAAACGCCCCCTGGTACCCGTTTACTTCCCTTATATCCACTGTCTGTGGCCAACTGCCCTGCTTCGACTCGGTCCGCGTCGCRGTCCCKACWGCCCCAATGCTCCAGGCCYAGAAAATTTCTTGCCCTTGTCAATCCAGGCCCGGTCATCGCGCCCTGGTCCATTGCGGTAGCTGTTCCAACGGCAAACCAGTGACCAATTTCTAAGCCCAGCAGGTCCGGGCCATGGCCTGCCGTCCCAGGACTGTGTAAGTAGCCAACTGGTGCSCATTCCAAGGTCGAAGTACCAAATCGCAGCCAGAATCTGCGCAACGTCACAGGCAACGTGCCTGCACCTTTTTCTGTCTCCGAACCCCAAAAAGAACAGCGCAGGCTGTAGTACTCTGTTTCAGTGTTGTGCCACTATCAATGCAGCGAACTGTGAACTGCAGCAGCCCTGAAACAGATCAGAGCGCCGGACCATCAAATACCAAGGTCAAATAGTCCTATACTGTTTCAGTTTGTGTCGATGCCGAGCCAATAGTTATGCCAATCTGCATTAGCTCCCATGCCAATGGCGTTGCGATAATAGTCTCATACCAGTGCCGTTCCAGCAAGCGTTCCAATGCCGGTTCCGAAGAAACGCTCTGATTTACCGTCGCCTGCACTATTATCACACCGCTCGGAGTCGGGTGCCGTACCGTGCAACAATGCGTTGTAATAATACCGAGTCTGTCCCGAACCAGAGTACCGTACCCGAATCGACCCAGCGGTAACACCCAAGCAATGAAGCCCAGGCAAAATAGCACCGGTGGTAATCCCGCGCCAGGCATCCATCCC